CTTCCTGGCAATGCCTTCCCTCCGTCCGGCCTTGTTCCTTGGCGTATCTGCTACATATATCATATCCGCAATGGAGCTTATTAACACCAGCAAAGAAGACCATAAACTTCTTCATAAAGGGTACGCCACTGGGCATTATATTCGGCTCTCCAGTGGATCGCAAATAGTCACGTATAAGAGAATAAAGCGTTGATGAACCATTTTTCCAGTTTTCCTTGTTCCCTCCCCTTGTGGGTAGTGACAAAAAATAAAAGGTAGCCCGCAGGCGAGACATATGAACGTCGTCGGCCACTGAAGTCGTGTGTGTGTGTGTGTGTGTGTGTGTGTGTGTGTGTGTGTGTGTGTGTGTGTGTGTGTGTGTGTGTGTGTGTGTGTGTGTGTGTGTGTGTGTGTGTGTGTGCGTGTGTGTGTGTGTATAGGAGGAAGTGGAGAAGAAAGGGGAGAGAGAGGGAGGAGAAGAGTGATATACCTATATATGACACATGTATATACATCGTAGGCCCATGGATATTAGTCTTTTTGATATGTATAAAGTATAATGTTGTATCATACATAAATAAATAAATTCTCCCCTTTTTATGTGCCAGCGAACTTTTAGCTTACATTGCTGTTTTTTCATCCTCATTTATCAAACTTTCGCATTCAAAAATATCTAAAAGCTATTATGCCCTATCACCTATCACCAAAGTCGTTCGTATCCCATTTTTTATATTGATGGCGGCGGCTTCCGATAAAACGTGCTCTGTCTGCAAACTATAAGTATGGAAATGTCCGCCTGCATGATACTATCTGTAAGACAAATATGTACAAAGATTTTATCGTGTAAAGAAAAGGAAATGTCGATATTTTCGTGTGCCAAAACTCATAACAGTTCCGAGATGTTTCGGGGGAGTCGGTGAAGTCGCCGGAGGGACGCCAGGACGGTTGCTCCAGGCACATTTATGTGTGTGTGCGTGTGTGTGTGTGTGTGTGTGTGTGTGTGTGTGTGTGTGTGTGTGTGTGTGTGTGTGTGTGTGTGTGTGTGTGTGTGTGTGTGTGTGTGCGCTCCAGGCACATTTATGTGTGTGTGCGTGCGTGCGTGGGTGTGGGTGTGGGTGCGTGCGTGCGTGTGTGGGCGTAGGTTTGGGAGAGAGAAAGATCTGTGCGTGTGCATGTGCGTGTGCGTGTGCGTGTGACTTAGTTTTCATTTATATGCACATACATACATAAATATATATATATATATATATATATATATATATATATATATATATATATATATATATATATATATATATAATTTGTGCATGTTGACCTCCCCATATTTCGTTATGACCATTATCTTTTTACTTATTGCTATGTATCCACCAATGACCCTGCTTGATTTTCCAGGGGAAATTTTCGTTTATTTCATTTCATACATAAAGTGTTGTGTTGAGTTCGCTTCCTGTGTAGAAGAGTAACAAAGCCCTGAGGGCAAAATGGAATAGCATCATTACAGATCGTTTCGTTCTGTATGACAAAAAATTAAGGTAGGGAATGCACAAGAGAACATATACAAAAAGTTGTAAAAACTGATAATTAGAAAATGCAGAAATCATGTAGTTAATTTATATGACATATTTCCAAGAGAAGTTCATGGAAGTTAAAAAATGGAAACAAGACTACTCTGACTTTTTCTTGCAATATATAGTTCATTCATCTGTCAGAAGAAATTCTACATGTTAAATTATCACCTTCCAATACCTCATTTCCCCGTGATTTAGTGTC